TTTTAAATTTTATGGCCTTTAAAAAACAACACGTGGTGGTCTGGAAAATAATTTTTCAGTACTGGGAGAAGATTTCAAAATATTGAATGCTACTTTCATTACACTGTTTATCTTATTTGTGGCCCAGGATAGTATTGAGTTATAAATTTAGGATCACTTGAAAAACTATTATCTTAGTTGAGTTTTTTGGGGTTTTTGATCTGATTGGATATTAGTTTTTGAGGATAGCCTCTTTCAATGAAAGCAGAATTCAATTTAGTGATATATTTTTCAAAATCAGATTTTTCACTGCAGAGTGTTTTAGCTCGAATTGATAAGCTTTTTGGAATTGATTTTTTCATATACATAGAGTGACAACTTTGATAATGTAAGTACTGCATTTTGTTAGTTTCTTTTAAATGAATTTTTGTTTTAGGTTTTTGATTGTCAATGATCTAAGAAAGAAATAATTTTGTCTGAATAATTCCAAGTTAATTTCAAGCAAGAAAATTGGTTTAAATCTTGTAGAAATTCTTTTAGTGAATTTATTCCGTGTTGCCAAACAATAAAGATATCATCTATATATCTTAACCAAAGAAGAGGAGTTAAAGGATTGTTTGAAAGAAAATTTTGCTCTAATAGACCCATGAAAAGATTAGCGTAGGCTGGGGCCATATATATATATATATATATATATATATATATATATATATATATATATGTGTGTGTGTGTCCATCCGCACGATAACTTGAGTAATTTTTGTCAGATTTTGATCAAATTTGGTATGAAGGTGTAAGGCGGGATACACTTGAACGAGTTCGCGAACCCGCATAATCGGACTATGGGAACAGGGGTTTACGGGGGGTTTAATGGGGTAAAAATAGGGTTTTCCCATTTTTGACAAAAAAAACATAAAATTAAGCAATTTCTTTTCAAAAAATTTTGTAGAGCTTAAAAAACTAATAATTTAGTATATTGAAGCGTTATTAAGCGCCTAATGGTTACGGAGAAAATATAAAAAAATGTAAATTTAAAATTCCCATGTTATTCTTATGGAGAGAACAAGTAAACTGTTGTAGTTTGCTTGTTTATGAACATCTATATAAATAAAATTACAGTTTTGTCTGTACATTGCTTAGAATCATGCAGTTTTTGGTTATTTTTACGTTTCATAGCCTAAGAAAGCCGAAACGAGTCTTATCTCAATTTCTGTCTGTATGTCTGTCTGTCTGTTTGTCCATTCTGTGACTTCGTCTGTAACGCCAAAATGTCATTTTACGCGGCCTACTCCTTGAAAACTAGAGTAAAGATCAAGATTCCAATTATTTTTCTGTATTCACTGGATTGGCGAGAGTGTCTTTGGCTATTAAAATATGGCCTAACTACTTTTGAAAAAATATAACAAACAATCAAAAACCCAATTTTGTTAGATTTTTGTCAAATTTTCCCCCAATGTTTACTATTACATTTTATGAAATAACGATCAGCTGTTTGGATTAGTTCTCATTTCTAGCTGTCACTGATATGTTTACATTAAATACTGTTTACAAATACCGCAACCATTTCCGATAAAGTTTTGTTAGCACATCCAAACCAAGTTAGATTAAAACCGTTGTGCCTTACTTAACCGGTTTAATTAATCGCAAGTGCAACGATTGTTCTTAAGTTTTTATAACCGGGGAAAATACTGAGAATCAGTGTTGTGAATCAGTGCTGGGAAACTTACATTTTTTTAATCATCGTCACCAATAGTTTAAAAAAAGGTTTCCATTCAATGACGGCGTAACAAAGACAGTTGTGTAAAGTGCAAAGTAAAAAATCAACTGCAGTGGGTGATCGTGGATGTTGCTGTGATCTTGGAAGTTCTTTCTAATTTCACTGTGATCGTAACATATGTTTAACTTACAGATGTAGCTAAAATCGCAACTCGCTTTTTCCAATGTGTCACTTTCGGTTTCTACTTACTTACATTTCGACAACGACATCGGTACTTTTTCTACTTAGGAAGTAAAACTACAAACGTCCAAAACCCCAGATTTGTGCGTTTTTTGTCACATTTCCTCCGAATGATTGCTAGATATGTGTACCGATTATAGTTTAGAGATTACGTAATCTTTTAAAAAAGAAACCTTTGTTTGGATAAAGGTGGTTTCTTCAAACTGTCATTATATGTTAACATTAAAAGTTGCTTACAAATAAATGGGAAATAACTATAATTTTCGAAAACTTAAAAAATTTAAAACAAAGGGAGATTAATAGCTTCGGTACTGCACCACATCAAGTGAATGTTTTTTTTAGCAAACCATATATAATAATATAATAGTGAGTTTTTAAAGCTTTACGTTGTTAACGTTACATGTTTTGTGGCCTGTGTATTTATTTATTTATATATTTTCCAACGAATTACCACCTATAATACAGTTTGATTAGAAGGACAGTTTGAATTGGTCGTAATCGTAAGTACTATAGTTCTTTTCTTAAATGTAAACGTTGGTTTTTGGTACTGCTACTTTTCCTTAGAACTGGTGGTAGCAGCAAGAATAATATTTACGTACAAACACCTCACTATTTACAACTATAGTTATCGTTAGTGCTGTACCTTATTTCTTATTAAAGTTAATTGATGTCTTACTGTATATAATTTTATTGCGTTTTCTGTCTGGACTCCAAAATGTTACTTTATGCTATGAAAATGATAATACATTAGTGAACGATTTATTTAGCAAACCATCATGAATTTTTAAAGCTTGGCGTTGTTAACGTATAAATGTTTTGTGGGCTGTGTATTTATTTAATTATTTATATATTTGCCAACGGGTTTACACCAATTTTACAGTTTGATTAGGCCTAAAAACGGTTATTATAAAATTTGATGACACTATCAAAACTTTCAAATAATTGTAATTTGCTTTGGTTAAAGCGTAGTAAATCCCCTAATTCATTTCTGTATTTGTGTGTGTAAGCCTGTTGGTAACGCATTAATCTCCTTATTTCTCAGTGTTTCGTGAAAAAAGAGCACCTTTGTTAATGCAAATTTCAACCCGAATAAAGTGTGCAGTAGTGAGGTTGAGGTAGTATTTTTACTACTTTTAACCAGTGTGAAAAGTAACTTTCAATTACAGGCCTCCGTAAGTTAAGGGCTATGCCTCATAGATCTATAAAGCAGTTCCTTTTATCATTAGATATAAAATATGGACTAACATGATCGGTTGACACTTAATTGCGAAGCATTCGTTTTGGCTATGAAACTGTCAGATATTGTGTTTGCGAAGGTTTATTATGTATTCCTATACAGTAATAGTTTAACCAGCATATCTGGAAAAATGCACACTAAATATGCAAACCAACTCCTGTTCTGAATATAAGGTTTCAACCTACTACAAGATTCCCGTACGTAGAACGGGCAAACAGCTAGTATTTTGATAAAATCTGGAATATGTTTTTATTTCTTACCAACTATTAACATAAAAAAAAACAGTTTAACCATAGACTAACTAACCCTCCCTGATGCAGCAATCCTAAGTACTTGTTAAACTAATTCTATTTAAATAGGAAATAAATGTTATATTTTTAAGTAGACATTTTAGTGTAAATCTAATCAGGCAAATGGAAATTCGCTTAGTTGCTGGTTTGCTGCGGCGGGGGTATTTAGTCTTCACGTACAGAGACTTAAATGTTTGTATTAAATTGTTAGAAATCGTTAATCGTGGACAGAATCTTCCACAAAAGATAATTACAATATAGTTTAACACCCTAGAACTTCTTAGAGTAATATTAAAAAAATATTTTTTGTTAAGGCTTCGTCATAATGTAAAAAATACTCAATACAACAAATTCATTAATTTTACATAAGTAAACGTTGATAGTTGTATGCGTATTGTATTTTTTATATATCTTCTGTATACATCTAGTCCTCTATATTTTCTGTGTACACAAATGCTTTTGTTTACAATTTATTTTGCAACTCACAATAACTGAGAAATATGTTAAACCGTTGAACTGTTTTTATAAATTTTTGCCATTATTTCTCAACCCGTGCTTAAAAAAATAGTGACTCGTGGATAAAGCCAGATACCAATTTTAATCTAAATCGGACCACAGGTTTTGTCTGTAGATCTGTATCTGGATCATACAAGTGTGTATTATATTACCTGATATTACTCAAAATATGTTTTATTCTATAACGTTTAATTAAATTAAACATTAAAGTCACGCTCCCTCCATTTTTGAAGTATTCAGTCCAAAAATGTAATAAATTTACTTGCGCATACTTATTTATTTCGTGTTAATAAATAATTGAGGTGATGCAATACACTTATGTAGGCAGTCGCAGCAGTCAAAGCCGGGCATAGCGCCTAGAGTTTCATGAACGCAAACCGCGCAACGAGTAGCTAAATGAGCCGTAGAGTAAGTGAACCATCTAATATTTTGAAGAGGGTTCACTTACTCTACAGCTCATTGTGCCAATGATCTGTAGTGTAAGTGAGCCATCTAATATTTTTCTGCAGGCTCGTATAGTATACGAGCCTATTCCTATAATTTATATTGATTCATGATTTTGGCTCGTATACTATACGAGCCGATTCCTGAATTATCAAATAATTCATACGCTTGGCTCATAGTCACTATGATCTGTAGAGTAAGCGAACCTTCCTACTGTATTTTTAAATACAATACACGAGGCTCATAGGCACAATGATTTGTAGAGTAAATGAACCCTCTTCATTTATTTTTTTATTTTCGATAGGCTCGTATAGTATACGAGCCTGTAGTGCAAGTGAACCTTCAATATTATTTACAAAGCTCGTATAGTCTATGATCTGTAGAGTAAGTGAGCTGTCCCCGACGAATCATTGAAGTGATTCACTGATTATTTGACCTACAGCTGACCAGACACATTGATTTTTATTTGACTAAAAAACAAAGTCGATGCCTTATCTAATTTCTTTCAGCTGATTTAGTGAAGCTGGAGCTGAAGCAGTAGCAGACTAACTATGGTTTGCAGCTGTTTGTTGACCATCGAAAAAAGTTTCAACTTCAACTGTCAAATAGGTAGTAAGTAAACGTAAACGTAAATAAAATCAACACTTGAATTCAACCACAGATAATTGGGTTATATTATCTGTGGTTCAACACATTACACCACTTCAACAAACGTCCAAACTCCAACATAAAATGGCAAACCATTTAAACAAGGTTATGTCTTTGTTTGTTATCAATAATGTAGTTAATCAGAACTTTATTGGAAAACTTGTTACGGCCTCTATGTTACATCAACCACGCTACATGTCAATCAAAGCTCAGAAGATTGAATTGAAAGAATTTGGAGATCCGAGCAAGGTCTTGAATCTTGTTGAATGTACTTACGAAGAACCGGCCAAAGATCAGGTATGAAAGTTGTTGTTAGCATTGCTCAATACTTCCTTGTTAGGACTAAAGAAAAATGTATAAAAACAAACAACTAGAATTCCCTGTGCTAAGCCCCTACAACGTTTTGTATCTAATTAGTCTAATTAATCAATATAATTTTACTGTAATTGGCTTTCTAGAATCCTAGAAATTAAACTTTTGGAAATGTTTGGAGTAGCCTAGCCTGTAATTTGTCTGTCATTATCTTGGACTAAGCTACAGTACTTCCAATTCAAACTTAAATTAACTGCAGTAAGCCTATAGCAGGCCTACAAATTTTAACACCTCTCCGGTTTTTTTACATATATAATTTAGTAGGCCTAAATAAAAGGTACAAAACTCTCATCCCTGTGTTGAGTCACCCCTCTTCTCTATTGTAATGATTGTGTGGCGAACTCTTAACATCTAGCCTTTATATAAGTTATTATTAAAGGATTGAAATAAGTTTATGTCAACCTAAAGGAATTACATTCCTCTTTGCACCTGTTTTTCAGGTGACACTGAAGTTTCTCTTAGCTCCTGTAAATCCTGCGGATATTAACACAGTTCAAGGTGTATATCCAATCAAACCAAGTCTCCCAGGTGTTCCTGGCAGCGAGGGTATTGCGGAGGTAATTGCAGTCGGGCCTGAGGCCAAGAACATCAAATTGGGTGATCGAGTCATTCCTAACAAACAACCTTTTGGCACATGGAGGACTCATTCTGTTGTTAGTGAAACTGATGTATTCAAGGTAATCATTGTTAAATTAAGCCTACTAATTTTTGTTCTTAATTAATACATCTTTCTCCTTGGTACATAAATTAATTATTTAAGTCACAACATTTTTTTAAACAATTAAACTTACAAGGTCAAGAAAAAACCGCATCACATTGTGTAAAGGACATTAGGTAAACTGTGCAAATTATCTTAATAACAAGACAAGTCAGTAAATAAAGGTCTCCAACGAGATCCTGCTGTCAAGAATTGTCAATGAAATCCGACACCAATAATTAGGTAGGTAGTGTTTTTCATGCTAGCCTACGCCTACGTCTAGTTTATTCATGTTTTGGTCGTCCTTTATATTTGTTGTTTGGGATTAACTTATGCAATATTTGCGTTATATTCAAGATACTGTTAGCAAAAATTTACAAATTCAAAATAAAGGGATTTAAAACAACTTACTGCAAAACCTTTTACTACCTCAAACCATTTTAATTAAGCCCATTTATTGAAATAAAATCATCCAGTGTAGGTCCTTAAGTAATTTGCAAATGAATCCCAGATTTTAAAATATAAAAATACTACTAAACTTAAAAACAATTTGTCTTTGAATCAGTTTTGTTTTATTCATTAAAATAAGATTAAATAGATACCAAGTCTCTACAATGTAAATCTAAATTCGCAGGTACCAAAAGATCTAGGCCTGGCTGAAGTCGCAGCTGTCACCTCAAACCCTGGCACTGCGTATCGCATGTTGAAAGACTTTGCAACTCTGAGGCCTGGTGACATAGTGCTGCAGAACGGTGGTAACAGTGCGGTAGGACAGAACGTGATACAACTTGCGCGGGCTTGGGGCCTCACTAGCATATCAGTAGTACGGGACCGGCCAGACATTGCAGACTTGCGCTCGTACTTGCTGGAGCTTGGAGCTGATCATGTGCTTACTGAGGAGGAACTGGAGAAGTGAGTGTTTTATTATATTTTTTCAATGCAGGAAATAGAAATTTTTAAGCATTTGAAAACTCCCTTGAATTAAACTCTATAACTGTTCTACAAATCGGTGTAAATCCCCAAATTCATGCTATCTAGAAACATTGTTGCAACAAATTTCAACTCACATCAGAGTCATTATTAGATCAGTACAAGATATCTTCTTGTTGCTTCATTTGAAGAACATCTAGTACCAGTACTGGGGCATGATGAACAAGAACATGACAAGAATACTTCTTGTACTGGCTTGATTATGAATTTTAGGTGAGTTGAAACTAGCCGACTGTAATGTGGCCGAAACTTCATGCGACCAGGAGGCTAAAACTTAATAGGCTAATGTGAAAATAATAATTGTAGGCCTACATCATTCCATTGGCCTACCATATACCTGTTTTGCGTTGTCTTTAGATCCTTCAAAAATTGCATTTGCCTTTAGCCTATAGGATTTGTATCATTAGCCTTAAAGAGTTTATTTTTTAGGTTTTTGATATTTTTAATCACTGATTTTTAAAACTAAATGTAGGCTAGGTTTTACCCGGCAGCCTGAACTTCAATTCAGAATTAGGCCTATATTGATTGAAATATAGTTCAGAATTGAACATGCCTCCATTGTAAAAGATCTCAAAGTTTTAAAACTATTTTTCTTTTCTTTTCAATGATTGTGTGTTTTCTGTGCTCTTCATGCCAGAGCTTGCAATAGATGGGAACAAATTAATTGTTAACTATTATTTAGATGTTAAAATGACAATTTCTAAAAAGACTTATTTACAGATTTTCAAAATGTTAAGTTTCAGTTCATCCAGTGCATAGTTTGAATCTTTGTGAATATTTCAGTTTATTTCAAGTCGATAAACACTAGGACCATGTTTATGCGGAACCAACCAGCGGGTGTAACCCTCTTAAGTATAGGCCTAACAGTTACCTTAATTTGGGGTTTTATAGGCAGAGAGATTTCTTCCCAAAAAACAACATGAAAAAGCCTAAACTGGCGATGAACTGTGTGGGAGGCAAGAATGCTCTGACCCTCTTGCGTAATCTGGATAACAACGGAGTCATGGTCACATATGGTTAGTACTAGTTATAAAATAAATACTAATGGTTAGACTTAACATGTTTAACTACTGGGTTAAAACACATTTCTTTTTACAATGCTGAGGCTAGGATGGCTGTGTTGAAAACAAAACAAAAGTACCATAGTAAAAAAATATGGAGGATAGTTCAATAAATTCAATACGGTACTTGAAATATTATGGTACGTTATTTGGTTACCGGTATATCAGTTTGTACCACGAATACTGTCGAACAGAACCGGTATGGATCATAAACATTAAACAAATGACGTTGCTGGCCCGAATCCTATACTAATAGCATTAGCATGATGTCGACAGTTCCATTTAAGCAATGTTAAATTAGGCTATGTTTATTTTTGGGCCAGTTACATCATTTGTTTATGTTTATGATTCATACCTGTTCTGTTCAAGAATTTGTGGTTTGTACTAAAAAGAATTTTAAAACTCAAACCTATGATTGAATGGTCTTACAAAAAACACTTAACGTGAGAAGACTACCACTAGTTTACAATCACGTGCCCGGATTATTGTACTATCACCTTTAAAACTGAAGTGTTCTGACTATTGTCGTTCTGTTGAACTTGTTGGTCTGTTCTAAAAGGCCTTCGAACTTATATGCGCCCAAAGTTCTTTGGGACACAATGTTTTTCTTAAGTAGCTTCAAAGGATTTACTTTGACAATCTATGTGACTTTCCCCCATTTCTAAGCAAAGATAGTGCAACTATGCTCCTTTCAACAAATTTGGGCGGTTTTAGGGGAAGAAAGCTTTTCCCTCCACTTGATCATCCTACCAACCATTAAATTAATAGCTCTTCAGGTGAGGTCTGCCAAAATGTCAATCAGCTGCTACATATAATAAGCAAACAAAATAGTGGGGAACTTCCTCTCAAACCACCTAAATTGTGTTAATCAAGTACTAGTGTACCTGTTGCTCGAATTCAAGCAATTACGAAGCATTACAGGCGAGTCAAAGATTATGGACATACTCACAATCTACACAACAGTTAGATATAATCAAAATCTTTTGTAAATATCTTATCTTTTTTCAAAAAGCTGATCTTGTTTTTTAGTGTTTTCTACAAATTTTCCCCTCTCATAGCCGCATTAGATTGTCTATGATAACGATTATAAATGAAAAAAACATTATTTCTATTTCTTCTACTTGGTTGTGTTCTATGACTTTTTCTATGTTTCCATTGTTTGCAAATCGGTTATTTCAATGATAGCTCAAGAAATGTAGGACAGTGTTAATTCAGTTTTATTTTTAGCCTATATCAAATTGTCCAGGATTTCTCGCCCTTTTCCATTCTAATAATTACACCAACCCAAGTTTCGTCTACAGATGCAATATGCCAACGAATATCACCTACGTACAATCTCCAAAAAGTGGTAAAAAAGGCAGAAACCAACCCATACAATAGATATAAGTTAACTCCAAAAGAAATAATTTTAAGAGTTACTGTGATATTAGGATTCTCCACTGATTTGGTAACAGAACATTATATTGCAAAACATGACACGGAGCAGAAGAAAATCCATTTTAAAATCAGAAAAACCCATTGCAAATATTGTACTTCATTTTGACACATTCAATAAATCACAATTTAAATATTAACAGCTGTTTCATTAAAAAGCAGTGTAGAATTATGCATATGGTCGTAATGTAAACAAATCTGAAGAGTCTTAAAGGCTTCTGGGGCAGAGCCCCAAGGGAATTTACCTCGTTCCTCTTTTGATGGCTCATCTACAGACCAAGACCTTTCTTTAGAGACCCCTACCAAGTTTTTACGCCCAGCCGTTCTCTCAAATTAGCTGTGACAAAAACCCTGTTTTCCTCCATAAGAATAACATGGGATGGGAATTAAAGGCCACTGGGGCAGAGCCCCAAGGGAATTCACCATGTTTCTCTTTTGATGGCTCATCTACAGACCAAGACCTTTCTTTAGACACCTCTACCGAGTTTCTACGCCCAGCCGTTCTCTCAAAATAGCTGTGACAAAGAAAAACAGTTTCAAATTAATATATAGACTAGTGTACCTGTTGCTCGAATTCGAGCAATTGCGAAGCATTACAGGCGACTCAAAGATTATGGAAATACTCACGATCTACGCAACAGTTAGATATAATCAAAATCTGTTGTAAATATCTTATCTCTTTTTGTAAAAGTTGATCTTGTTTTTTGAGCTTTTTTAGTGTGAAAAAAACATTATTTCTATTTCTACTACTTGGTTGTGTTCTATGACTTTTTCTATTTTTCCATTGTTTGCAAATCGGTTATTTCAATGATTGCTCAAGAAATGTAGCACAGTGTTAATTGAGTTTAATTTTTAGCCTATATCAAATTGTCCAGGATTTCTCGCTCTTTTCCATTGTAATAATTACACCAACCAAAGTTTCGTCTACAGATGCAATATGCCAAAGAATATCACCTACGTACAATCTCCAAGAAGTGGTAAAAAGGCAGAAACCAACCCATACAATAGATATAAGTTAACTCCATAAGAAATAATTTCAAAATCTACTGTGATATTAGGATTTTCCACTGATTTGGTAAAAGAACATTGTATTGCAAAACATGACACGATGCAGAAGAAAATCAATTTTAAAATCAGAAAAATCCATTGCAAATACTGTACTTCATTTTGACAAATTCAATAAATCACAATTTAAATATTAACAGCTGTTGCATTAAAAGGTAGTGTAGAATTATGCATATGGTCGTAATGTAAACAAATCTGAAGAGGCAACTTTAAAGGCTTCTGGGGCAGAATCCCAAGGGAATTGACCTCTTTCCTCTTTTGATGGCTCATCTACAGACCAACACCTTTCTTTAGAGACCCCTACCAAGTTTCTACGACCAGCCGTACTCTCAAATTAGCTGTGACAAAAACCCCGTTTCCCTCCATAAGAATAACATGGGATGGGAATTTAAAGGCCACGGGGGCAGAGCCCCAAGGGAATTCACCATGTTTCTCTTTTGATGGCTCATCTAAAGACCAAGACCTTTTTTTAGACACCTCTACCGAGTTTCTACGCCCAGCCGTTCTCTCAAAATAGCTGTGACAAAGAAAAACAGTTTCAAATTAATATATAGATAGGTACGTATTTAATTAGTTTTAGAAAAAAGATTCATACCGTAAATCAGCTGATAGCTGGAGAACTTGGGAAGGGGAGGAAAGGCCATGAAACGAGTAGTTGTGTGCTGGAGTCTACCCGTGCGGAATTGGATAATTTGTCTTTAGATTTAGCTATTTAAAAATATGTTCTAATTTTTTTTCAGAAAGGGGGGATTGAGGGGTTTAGGGAACTATTATATATATAGATTGACTGTATCAGCTTAATATGTAAATTATACTTTTCAGCACACTCGTACTTTTAAGTTGCGAGTGGAATTTTTACTGGTTCTTATCTTTATTATATTAAATCAGATGTATTAGAAATATTAGATCATCAAAATGGCTGTGATATGGATGTGGTTTGGCTCGGTAATTAATTTAAGTTTATTATTATTCACCTCAGAATGTCGCACACATCTATTAATTGATTATGTTGAGCCTTAACGATCCTTATGAGTCCAGTACCGTTACTATTAATAGTAGTGTACTAATTAAGTGTTACTAATCCTTACATGCTTCAATAAAGGTAGCAGAGCGTGGTTTCAATCCACGGACCTTAAACAAGAAAAGAAGCCTAATCTTCGCACATTTGTAACCGTCTCATTTGATTACAGGAGGAATGTCCAGGGAACCAGTGAGTGTACCAACATCAGCATTCATTTTCAAGAACATCTCTCTTCACGGGTTCTGGATGACCAACTGGCACAAAGAGCACAGAAACTCTGAAGAACAACGGATAATGTTTGAGGATCTGTTCCAGTTGATGAGAGACGGGAAGTTGAAAGCTCCAAGATACAAAATTCTGCCTCTGAGTCAGTACAAGGATGCCATATCTAACACAATGAACATCAAAGGTTTTGCTGGTTTCAAATACTTTCTTGACTTAACAAGTTGATCATAAATGAAAAAGCGAATGTATCTGTGATAACAGAAATCTGTGGGTTAGTTTGTAAGATAAGTCAGTAATATTAAACGTTTTCAACTTTTTTCAGTTTTGGTTTAGTTACACATCTGTTTCCTTTTTTCAAAAACTGTTTTGAATCAGACAATAATGGGTTTTACATACCTCCATAAAATAGTCCAATGATTAATATTGCTCATCAGCTTACATGTTTTGTTGCGAAGACAAAAGTTTCAAAGCTTGCAACTCGTCAATAACACAATTAAAACACAAACACAAAAACCATGAAAATGGTACAAATAGACAAATTTTAGATAGCGTTATCATAATACTGATTTAGTCTTGCGTGTCGCGACTCAAATGCTGTCTTCACTACAAAACATGTAAGCTGAGCAATATTAATCCTTGGACTATTTGACGGAGGTATGTAAAACATATTATTGTCTTAACAATATATTCCAGGGGCCAGAAACATGAACTTTGTTGAATCAGTTTAATTTAGCGAAAAAACTCAGTGCTTCCTAACCAAAACATAAGGAAAATACAAAAAAAAATTTAAACACTTTTAATTATTTATTTGAACAAATAAATTGTGTCTTAAAGGAACTTGTCCAGCAAATCTACAACATTGACGTTGCTCTGGTCACTCATGGGTCCACTAACGGTCATTTCCGTCATAACTTTGTGGAGACTTTCAGTATAGAGAGGCTCGGCCTCAGTTCTAGTCACGTCAAGCTTCACAGGGGAATTAGCCTCACTGTAAAAAACCACAATGTAATAATTAATAACTAGTAAAGTATCCTCCTTGTTAGATTTGTTCCAGCTTCCTCTTTTGAAGTATCTTGTATGTTAATTTATGGCGATTTAATGAACAAATTGTTATATAGCAAATGCATTATGTTGACAGATTTGTAATAAATAAAAATGACGACCCAAAGTAAGTAGGTAGCTTTCAATGTTTCTGGTAATGTTTACCAGCTAAAGACAAACATGAGTAACAATTTATCTCTAAAAAAGTTTGAAAAAAATTAAAATAATGCATCAAAAATAAAAAATGTTATCCTTTAAGTTGTTACTGACAGAGTGTTGCCGTCCTGGTCCAAGAACAGGTCCAGTCTGATGTGCTCCTGGCTGCTGGGAGTTACAGAGCCCAACAGCTGTTTGGCCAACAAACTCAATTCTTGTCTGTAGTCCTCACTATCAGCTGGGTCCATCACCTGGGTCTCCTCTGTTGTGACCCGTCCGGACAAACTGTACCTACAACACATCCTTAGATCTATATCCATGTCCAAATTATTCCACGGATATATTTTTCTTACTTTAATAATTTAATTTTTCCAATCTAAACACTTTTCTACCCTTGTCTACCGTGATCACCTCAATAAATTTTAAAACGATTAAAAAATAAAAATACTATTTTAATGTTAACCTTATTAAGACTGTATGAATATATTTACAAATCCACCTGAAAATAAAATTGTAGATCCCCGAGAGAGGATTTCAGTTTGCTCTTTTTAATTTTTTTTTGTATAATGAGTGGAAACAGAAAAATTTTTGTTTTCACAATATTTAAATCTTTCTAAAAAAATATCTGTTTTCCTTAATTGGACCTAAATGCTAGATCTAAGAAGATTTTAAGTGCACAACTCAGAATAAAGTACACATAAAGATTTAAAGTGGGATTCTTCTTATCAACATCAACAATCTTTTATTATAGCATAGTACCACTTAATTATCATTCTATATCCTCAGCTTTCTTAATAAGTATTCCAGTTTATATGTAAATGAGTTGAAGTCAAGATCGCAACAAAATTCCAAATAAACTCACACATTTGTGCCAAGGACGGTGTGTCGGGTTCCTCTCAGCTCAGTGGATCCAACGTCACTAGCTTGACTGTATTCTCCTCCTGATGTGAAGGTGCAAAGATCTTGAATGCAACCATCATTGCTGTACACTCTTATGGTGCCGGGAATTTCATTACCTAAGGATTGTTAAGATAGTTATAGGATGATAAAGCTAAGCGCACTGATTCGGGACGGCACGTACAGGATTGTAATTTTCAGCATTGATTGCTTATGTGTGCATGCACTAAGCTGCCAGGGTCGGGACAGGACCATCCACACCCTCCACCTTCCGAAAGAAAGTTTGAAAATATATTTCTAGGACATCCCGATGTCCGTACCCGTGAGTCACCCGCCACTTTGGTGCCGTCTACAGTACGCGGGCGCATTTTAGTTCGGACGATACGGTCTAGTCTTTTTCATACCGTAGTTTTCAGCACAAATGCTTGGCAGAGACTGTGGAGGTGTCTATAGTTTGATCGTTCCTTACCGATCCAGTGCGTGCACCCTACTAAGAAAAAGAGGGATGTCCTTATCGGCCGTACATCCCGTACCAACCGATCCAGTGTACACAGTTCATTAAAAAAGTGTGGAATGTCTGTACTGTCCGTCCGTGCCGTCCCGACCCATTGCGTGCTTAGCTTAATAGTAAAATTTATTAATGTATTAGTCAATAGCACCAGATAGCTAGGTGTTTATAGTGCTCACCCAATGGTCAAAAGTTCACTGGTTTGATCCTGAAAGTCCAATAACTTTTTTAAGGTAAAACTGGGCCCAGCTGTTCTTGATCATGGGGCTTTTGATAGGTAAATGTCACTTGCTGAAGAAACAGCTGGTCTTACAGTGTTAGCAAAACGGGAGTGCCGATGGAGACCTGTGGGGGTGCGTGCGTTTGAAGGGACTTGACCTGGTCTCCATCGGCACTCCCGTTTTGCTAACACTAAAGTCAGTAATGCTGTACAAGCAGTGTTTCTATACGCAGAATTTTTTTTCCAACAACGTAATTTTTAGACTATGTGCCTGATAAAGACGGTATAAGATAGTACGTTTTGCTCTGATGCATGTTAATACTGCTTTCTAAAAACAAACCAACACATATCCAACAAAAAAAAAAAAAAAAAACCAATTACAAAAATTTTTAGCACAGTATTATAAAAGGTTTTAAAGAGTTGTTTATTTATTATTAGTTTCCATAAAATACAAACTGACAATTACAAAAACTTATACGATTTTGCTACAAAAACCATTAATTACTTTTCTACAGCAAAAACAAATTTGAATCGAAACACGATACACCAAAAATACCACTTGGGATAGAACAGAAAAATGTTTATGAGTCAAATTAGGATTTTTCTTTAGCGGGATAAAACTGGATTCTCTCAACCCCGTAATGGAGTGTTTGTTTTGGGCATATGGAAACACTGGCTTCTTAATCATGTGTTCTACACTCATTCCACATTCATACTTGGATTAAATTATGCCCGGTTGAGTGTCTCTCTTAATTTGTAATAATAATAACTAAGAAAACTAGCCTCACTCATAGATACGGTTTTAAATCAACTATGAATGAATAATTGTAGGCCTAAAGTTGTAAAACAAAAGTAAGGTTATTTTACCGTAAGGGATCACACAACTTGGAGATATAACAAAACATCCGCTGCTGTTTTGTAGACTCTGTCTCATGAAAATTGAAACTCGAATCCTCATATCTTGAAAGAAGTTGAGAATGTGGTATCTTAATCTCTGCAGCTCTCCGTTGCCCATCTGACCATAGGTCTGAGGCAAAAATACAAAATATGTTAACAAAAACATTAAAAAATACCCCTCCAGTAATTCTGAGTCAATTATTAAGCCATTTATTTGAAAATCTGAAAAAATTGTATTAGGAAGGATACAATATAGGCAAATGTAGAATACCTATGTTGTTTTTCTTTTTGTGGCAGGGGCTATCCAACAAACAGTTTTTATGGTGTAGGTAATTGTGATTGTAGAAGTTGCGAAATGAAAAAGTGATCATTTAAACTACCGAACTACTTTCTAACAAAACAAATTTAACACCTACCCAGCTAGAGTTGTGTGACTACAATCATAGCTTAAAAACCTTACTCTCTCTGTTAAACCTATGTGTTCTAAGTTCAAATTACCTTGATTAGAAGAAAATAAGCATTATCCAGCTGTTTGTGAATGGCCTGGTTATTAACGAGGTTTCTTATTGAGTCAAGATGATTCAAGGTAATCAGCACCAGGTCTTTGGGGTGAGCAGCAGCAAAAAGCTGGAAATTTAAAATATAGCTTTATTAAATTGCCATTTTATAAAGTTTAAATAATAGAGGTGTTTGACTAATGTAAGGTAATTAACTTCTTGGTTGACTTTGCTTATGGGTAGTAAATTAAGAACACCCACAGAGAAGTAAGAAACAGAGGATACATTCCATGGTAAATTTAAGTGGTGTCTAGCACCAGTCGCTGGTGTCTAGAGCGAATTCCCCTCCGCTCTCCTTTCACGCTCTCCTTTCCCCACTTGCCATCACTTACTACAAAAACTTCTTACTTACAAAGAATTTTTGAAAATTATACCTGTTAAAACTATTGTTGTATTTCCAATGAACATTCCCAAGCTCAGTCCTTCTATGTAGATACTAAAACATTCTTTGGCAATAAGGATAAAACTCTTGAAACTGGTCAAGCATAAAATTTGGTACGATTAATCTGCCTAGAGCAGGTTGTCCTGGTACTAGATATCAGAGAATATTATTCCTGAACTTTGTTTGAGGCAGAAGACAATATAAGATTGGACACTTTTTTATGTATCCTTAGACACTTTTTTAAAAGCAAAATATATAAAATTTTTATAGCAATTAAACTGCAGTGTATAATACCTTCAGTATCCAATAGTCAATGGTAATACTGTACTGTGTGTTATTTTAGTGCTTTTTTTGTTGTTGCATGATAACATAATTGTATGTCTGGATTTCACATAACATACCTGATACTTGAATACCATCCTCATGAGGTCATACAGCTTGCCCATGCTGTCATCACTGAGCCTCATTATCGAGGCGTGAGCCAAGTCGTGAAACACGCTGCGCAGCGCGTCTTTGTTGTAAACCTCTTGAGGCTTAAAGAGCTCCTCTAGGAACCTTTGGTTCAGCATTATACCAACTATGTCGACCAGAACTGAAACAGGGATAAGTTAGCGTATGTTTACAGAAATTCCTTTGATTTTTGCTAGATCTTGCATATTTTCACATTTTTACAAAGCTTTATTATCCCAGTGGTACGGTACATTTATCTGTCTAGAGTCAAAAGGACTATGACTAACAAACACAATTTTAATCAAACTTGGTCAAGACTGTTCTTTAATCAACATTTTTCTGTTATTGAATTTGTATGGCGTTTTATGGAGATAATCATCAAAATCTAAATCTAAAATACCCCCGCCGCAGCAAACCTGCAGACTAAGCGAATTTCCATTTGCCTGATTGGATTTACACTAAAATATCTCCTTAAAAATATCACATTTATTCCCTATTTAAATAGAATCAGTTTAACACATAGTTAGGTTTGCTGCAACAGGGAGGGTGAAAGTGTTTTTTTATGTAAAATGTTAATAGTTAGTAAGAAATAAAAACATTTTCCAAATTTGGGCAAAACATGTTAATAAACAAGCAAACTACAACAGTTTACTTATTCTCCATAAGAATAACATGAGAATTTTAAATTTACAATTTTTTGGAATTTTCTCCGTAACCATTAGGCGCATTATAACGCTTCGATATACTAAATTATTTGTTTTTTTAAGCTCTACAAAATTGTTTGGAAAGAAATTGCAAAATTTTATGTTTTTTGGGTTAAAAATGGGAAAAACCCATTTTTACCCCATAAAAGCCTCCATAAACCCCCGTTCCCATGGTCCAATCATGCTGGTTCGCAACTCGTTCGAATAAACGTAGGTTTACAGGTTTGTACCAAATTTCATTAAAATCGGATAATTTTTGCTCGAGTTATCGCGCTAACGGACACATATATATATAAATATATATATAAATATATATATATATAAATATATATATATATAAATATATATATATATAAATATATATATATATAAATATATATATATATATATATGAATTTGAACGGATGGTGTTTTTGGCCTCTAGGGACCTCAAAACGAAAAAAAAAATCGGTCCCGGGTCCAGGTCTTACCATGAGTACTACGGTAATAGCTTATTCCCTATATGGGAAATTCGCTAAAAATGAAAAAAAAAATCCTGGAGATACCATAGATTAGTATTTACTACCATGTACTAATGGACTAATCAACACAAGTAGACTTCTCATCTCATTGTAAATTTTGAAGCTCTTTTTCTTCGTGTCTAGTTATGTCCGGTGACACTGGTGGCTAGTGTTGAGGAAATTTTGTTTCCATTATTTTAGAGTTAATTTCATGATTTGTGCTTTACTGTTTGGTTACATAACTAGAGGATGAGTTATTGTTTATGATTATATTGTTTTGTTTGGTTAAACAGGGTTTTAAATGACTAAAATAACAAGAAAATATCGTAAACAAAACGCGACATCTACAGTGAACAGAACTAACGATAAAATTGGCTTCAGCTGTTCCATAAGGATGTGAAATCTACTAAGGGAGTATGTTTGATTCATGCTGCTATACCTACATTCATTGACTATTGTCCAAATTTCATAAGAATAAATCAGACTACAGGTGTGGTAGCTCTGAGCTCTGTACACATTCACGCACAGACAGAAACATACATCCACAGACAGACATCACTTCAAAAACCACTTTTTTGGTTCAAGGGGCCCAAAACGGATATATACTCAAAACCTTTGACTATTTAATGTCAAAACTCAAAGAAAAATTTTTTGACGAAAACAACTTTCTCCATTAGTAAAAAGTGGGAGTCTAACATTTCCAGTAGAATTTAGTTTCATATTTTAGATCTGTCTTCAATATAGAGAGAGTGGCAATATTCTGTATTCCAATTAAGTGTTTAGATTTAAGTAACACAATAGATTTTTTGTTATCTATTTCTCTTAACAGGAGCACCATTTTACTGTTTGAGTTAAGTGTAGGTATATAATTATGTCATCCAATACACGTATTTCATAAATAGAATATTTGCATAAAGTGCCAATTTAACATAACATGAATAGTCTAGATCTAGATGGATAGAAGACTTGAGGGTAACAGTTCTTAGTGGTATTGTCGTTTTATGAATACCTTTCTTAGCCTTGTCACCAGGGACCTGCTGTGCACGAAGCCGCTGATCAAGGATATAAACCATCTCTCCTCCTAGGTTGAGGAATAGGAGAGGTAGCGAGTATCTGGCCATGGCGAAGTTCAAGTGTTACAGGCTTACAGCTAGCTCGACTACGGAAAAGGAACATGCCATTGCCACCACTACGCCTCCTCACCATCGATAAGACGGGTGACGGGTTTCGTTGTCATGGAAGCAATGGACAACAAAAAACAACTTGACGATAGCTCCTACCATCATTGATGTTATAGATCCGTTCCGTTGATGTAACAAAATAGATCGTATTCAATCTCAAGTATTTCAATTAACAATACCAGTATTTCATCGTGTATGCTGGTGTAATAATTAACTTATTGGTACCATTAGAGGATTTTATAGAAATATTCTAACTTAAACTAATCTCATCTGTATTTTGTGTTTGTACAGATACCACAGTAGAGTACTTACTACTACATATTTAATTTAATTCCTACGTTTTAATTTGAAATGCCATAAATAACAAAAGCCGTATCCACATTACACATACTCTGCTCATTAAGTTTTGGTATTTTCATATCCAACATTTTGATACAAAATATAGTTATCATATCTTTATAAAATGATTATAACATAAATGTTAGCAGGAAAAATGGAGGATAAAAAAAAACTATTATACTAGAACATTGTTTCTATTGAACCTTTTACCATGATAAATGGTTAAACCTCTCTCGTTATACCAATACCATCGTTATCAAAGGTTAGCCTATAATATTATCGTTTACGTTTTATAAATAGTGTAACAAGTCTCCCAATTATTTATGTTTCACTTTCTTACATATAGGCCAAAATTCCAACTAAAAGAGAAAATTATCATGACTTGTAAAAACACGATCCAAGAGGCATTGTTTACACTGCTGTTTTTAGATGAAAGAAGGTCCATCATCGGTCCATGGCTATGATGTCTATGTTCTGCATTTTTATGAGAAACCCTGTGCTTGTGAAACTTTTAATTGATTATTTATATTAAACTCATTATAGGCTATACATTAATATTATTCTTTGAGGGCCTCGGCCGTGTCATGCGATCTTATGTCAAATTTAAGTAGAACTCGAGTCCTTGATACACAAGGAGAAGATTGTGAAAACGAAAATACTTTGAAGAGGAAGAGAAACTCTAGTGGTAGTGATCATTATTGTAAAGTTGTCAAACACGAAGAAAATATGACGGATGCCACTAATCAAAAGCGTGCAAATTTTTCTGCATTGACCCCAGCAGCTAATGGATTAAATAGGACAGTTCCAACTTTAGTCAATTTAAAGCCAGGAGCAGCTAAAAAATTGGTTATCAAAAATTTTAAAGGTAAGGATATCCACTTGATTGAACAATCTTTAAGCTTTTAGCCCTACTAACTAAGTATATTTAGGAAAGGCTCTTAAGCTAGCCTTATTATTCTTTGTCACTTCAATTTTAATTAGGTAGGCAACATAAGTTACTGTATATAAATAAAAATAGGCTAGGCCTAGGCCTGCGTCTAATGAGGCATTAATTCTAAATAGGCCCAGCTTAAACTTTCAGTTTCGCTCCAACATCACAATTAATAAGGTAAGGCCTAACGGTAGTCATGTAAATAAATTGTTGGGCCTATAATCTAAGTGGATTAGATTTTATTGTACTTAACTTAGGCCTACATGTTAAGTTAGCCTCTGGATTGACAAATAATATTTAAAAAAAGGTTAGGCCTAAACACGTTCGCTGCTACGGACGTTTCGGAACGTCAGCTGGGCCACGGCGCCAGGAGCTAGGAACGTTCCGGAACGTCACCGTTCATTGTTGTTTAACGTTTCCATGGATCAACCAGCTCGTCACGAGCGTCCTATAACTTATTTCTTTGCAGCTCGTACTTTTCTGGGGACGTACTTTTCTGATAATAAAAAATATAGTTTCGCAAAATCACCACCAGCTCTTTCCTGCTAGATAGTGACACTACTGCAACCTGAGTAAGTAGTTCTGCTATCCATCAGAATCACTTAGTACTACAGTATGTCCAAAGCCAGTTGTATTGCAGAACATTGCTATCCAGTATATCAACTGTTGTTTTTACTGTCCAATTCAATGTATCAGCGGCAATGAAAAGAACTGTTTGACAAGCCACTCGCCTTCCCCAATAAAGTCAAATCCGTCAGTTCAGTTTTATTGTATATAACTTATGTAAATAGTGTTTTTGTATATAGTAATCTAATCCAACATTTGTTGGTCAACGATGAAGAGATTAAGTATTCAAGTAAGTAAGTAAGTAATGTTACGCAGTGTTGAGCGCCGTCCCGGTATCTAGCGGTCAGCAGCAACCACGTGTTAAATAACTGGCTATTACTTAGGCAATCCATTCAAATCGCAAACGCAATCCAGCTCAGTGGAGCCATCATCTGGCATTTCAAAGGACGTTTTCTTTCTTCATATTAAGAGTTACGGTATCATATTTAAACGTAAAAATTAATAAGTAGGCTTTTAAACATTTAAAGCATAAGTTAAGTAAGGCACATTAACTGTAGCTTAAAAACTGATTAGTCAAGAAAACAGACACCGGCTGATTCTGAGTCCAGACTGTGGGTGGTCAGTGTAATAAGGTATGTAAGTTAGCCTACGTCCATTATCTTAATGACTTCAGGTTGCGTCCTGTCTAGGACATTTTGCCCTCTCCAGTATCCTGACGGCAGTGTCATAGAAAATTAGACTAGAACGAGAGTTGGTTTTGGACATACAGTAAATTTTGTGGTCGGACTTCATTGCCATGTAACTTATCTCTCAAACTCATCCAATGTGTTTAATTTAAGTAGGCTAGCCTAAATCTGTTTAAACGTAAAATAGGTACCGTACCGGCATATTCATATAGGCCTATAGATCTCTATTCAATTTTAATTGTGGCCTTGGGAAATCAAACGTCCTAAGCTTATTATCTAAGCAGTTGATCAAGCTGTACTGTTGAAAGTTTATTTTGGATGCTTCCATAGCATAATGAATTATGGTGTGATATTTTGGGGGAATAGTCCTTTGGCGGAGCGTATATTTTTGCTTCAAAAACGCATAGTAAGAACAATTGCGAGAAAACCCTATACTTATCACATTGTAAACCAATCTTTATACAACTGAATATACTCACACTGCCTGCTCTGTTCATTCTTGAGTCTGCAGTGACAGTTAAAAGGAAGCCAGAACATTTTCCAAAAAATCAACAAATCCATAACTATTCAACAAGGCAGAAGGAAATGTTACATGTACCACAAGTTTCATCCAGTTTAGTGAGAGATGGACCAAGACATACGTGCATAAGAATTTACAATAAAATTCCAGCTGCCATAAGGAAAATTGAAGATGCGGAGAAGTTTAAATCCAAGTTTAAAGAATATTTAACGACTAGGCCTTACTACTCAGTAGAAGAGTTCTTAAATCAAGAATAGGCCAAAACTTTGACGACCATGGCACACCCGTGCTACTAATGGGATACCTTGATACCTACAAGTATCAAGTATTTTTAATTGACAATGATTTTAGGCAAGGTACATTTTCTTTCATTTGTAAATATTTTTATGGGCTTCACTCGAACCCTTTTTATTGGCTGGTGATATCCAGGACTAGGCCTAATAAAATTCAGTAAGACACACTCACACCAATTCTTGATTCTTGACACAAACATAAGTACACACTTCACACACAATCGTTCTCGAGATCAAATCCGATGTTTCACCGAACCCAATGTTTCAATTGCCATGAATAGTGACTCTGTTGTTCAGTATCTGAGTTTCCTCCAATCTGACTCCTTGTTGAGAATTTCACATGAATCCATTCCACAGTAGGTGGAAAGCAGGCTATACTTAACTTATTTTGGTACAGCTGCAAAAAGTAGGCTATCCTTATTTTTTAAAACAGTTCTTACGCTATGCTTAGCATTCAGATGCCTTAATCTTTCAGAGGCATTTCACATTTAATGGAACACACAGTGGTAGGGGGTTTTATCTCAGTGCTGGGTTCTTCTAGAATATCAACTTTATTTAAAAACTCCTTAAGGCAATATCAAAGACCACAGTTGTTTATGTGTTAGTCCTATGGTTTCTTGCTCGGTTTTTATTACATAATCTGTAGGCCTACTACAGATGGATTCAGTCCGTTTGACCAAACTGGTACTGCTTAACGCCAAACACTTACCTTGAGTAATATTGATCACCTATGATAAAATGTGTGTATGTTTCCCACACATTAGCAATTTTCTACACAACCTGCAAGCGGATTTCACTATGATTGTTCTGGTGGCCGTAGGGAATAAATTATATTGATCGGAATAAACAGTTACATGATTTTGATTTGATTTGACAATATTCCCGTGGCGGAGCACGGGTGGCTAACTGGTTTTTATTAATTTCCTTGTAGCAGCAAAACTAGGTACCCTAGGACTGGTTAAACCTAATGTTATTTAAACAGATTTAAATAACATAACATAGCGGCGGGGGTATTTTAGAACATGATCTATATTTTCCGATATTATCCTATATTTTCCCTTGTCCCTGAATAGCTGAATGTTTACAAATGCTATAATAGGTACAGTACTGTACTTTAAAATTTAAAATTTTCACCCTTTTAAGTGTTGCTCACTACTTAGCCTACTTAGGCCTAAATGAAGAAGTTATTTATTTACAGTATTTTAAGTTATTTTAAATGATTAGGCCTATTGTGAACATTTTGATCTATGTAATATAATAAGGTTTATTGCATAGCAAAAAGTAAGAACCAGTTTAGGAGTAAAATTATAGGTAGGCCTAGTTAAAAAAAATCTTGTTCAAAACAATCATTATTGTGATTTGTTGGCTAAGTCAAGTTTTTGTTACAGATAAGCCTAAATTACCGGATAACTATCAAGAAGTAACATGGGAGAAGCTCAAGGAGGCAGTGATTGCTGTCCAGCTGTCTACGAGCATCAGGTACAGTCTGGAGGAGTTGTATCAGGCAGTGGAGAACATGTGCAATCACAAGATGGCCGCTGACCTGTATACTAACCTCAAAGGTAGGCCCTGCTACACAGATATATTGTAATAGGTAGTAGCGTTGGCTGAAGGAGGCAGTTATTGTCCTCAAGCTGTCTTTAAGCATCAGGATAAAGTCAACACGTATACTTACGGCAATATAATGTTTTTTTTCTCCATCTTCCCATCCTAGGATGCTAGTCTCCAGTTTGGAACCGTTTTACTCATTCATTAAACAGTACAATACAGAGATCAGCTATGTTACCTGACAAGTAGGACAATGCTGAAGACGGTCTCCCCGCCACCTCACATTCAACTCACGGCCTGCTTTTCTATTGTTTAGGTGAAAGGCACAAACTTGGGTCTTAGCAGGGTTTGGCTGTAGGTGATTTGCGTCATAGTACTGGGAAAGTTCATTTAGAGTCATAGTCAGCTTCTGTTCCTAGAGGGTTATGACATTATGTCTCTGATTAAACCCATTGGCGATTGGTAGGATTTGAACCTGGGATTTCAAGGACCAAAGTTCCGCGATCTACCACTAGACCAGCTCTATCCCTATCGTAGTGTAATATAAATTATTATTTTACAAATTTGGATGAATTAAGCTGTTTTAAACCTTGCAAAGATTAGTTAAATTTTAAATTTTGTTTTGTTCTTAGGGAGGGCATACATCCTTTGGACGCAATAAGATTTCCTAATAGTATTAGGATATTGTGGAATTCTTCAGCAATGGCAATGAATGTTAGAAATTCTTGAGGTTCTCAAGTAGATCGTCTGCACAATTACAAGCAGTACAAACCGAGGTTTTGAATTGTGGTTTTAATTATAATGTCAAAATTTAACAACTCCAGTTAATGATAAAGCTACTAGCACATCTGTGCACACTCTATTCAACGTAATTATAAAATTTGTCTGGTTATTATTTTTAATGTTTTCAGTTTCCAGTGAAACATCATCTGATTGAAAGTTTCCTGAGCTTATTTTGATCTAGGAATCTGTTGCAATAAATAGTACAATCGAGCATTTTGATTTATCTTCCTCTCAATACTATAATGTCAAGTATTTATTTTTTCAGCCTTGTCCCTGATATAAGTAGGCTGATTAGCAGGGTAAAAGTAAACATTTTTCTTTAACAGGTTTAACCATTGACTATACAAAGAATATTAATTAAATGAATATTAATTAAAACCAATGCAGTATCATAGCAAACAGCTGATTGATTTATCACTTAACACAGAATATTGTCATTAGTTGGTAGCCATCTCAACAGATTGATACTATTGATACTCATTTGGGTAGATACTAAATTTACAAAAAAAAAAAAAAATGCTGCGGGAAATATGCGGGAATTTGGCCGAGCCCATTTGTTATACACAAGATATTTAAAAAACACTAGCTGTAACCCGCGGGCTTTGCCCCGTTTAACTTCTTAATTTTCAAGATTATCTCGTTCGCATGGCTCAATCACGTCCTGGTTGAAGTTTGTTCGCTACGCTCACTCACCTTTAGGTTGGAGCTCGTTCGCTGCGCTCACTTGCCTTCAGGTTAGCTCGTTCGCTACGCTAACTCGCCTCCAGGTTGAAGTTCGTTCGCTACGCTCACTCACCTTTTGGTTGCAAATTAGCTGTTGTCATAAATGTAAAAGAAATAATAGTGCTGCACCCTGTTGGTAATCCTTGTAACTTTAATGCTATTGAACATCACAGAACAGAACCAACTTGTTTAATTGAAACAGCTGTTAAGATTCAATAATTCCATTTCTCATAAGGTTAACATGGGAAACTCCAGAGCCACTGGGGCGGAGCCCGAAAGGATTTTTGAAATAAGAATATGCCTATATGTTAATCGGGAATGTGAGCTATCATCATGCCAAATTTCAGCCCAATCCGACCAGTATTTTTCGCGTTCACTTGTCACAAACATACATCCATACATCCATACATCTATACATCCAAACTTTCTCATTTATAATATTAGTAGGATTAGTAGGATGTATGACTCATCATCCCTTAATAATATGGTATCGAACTGTGATATTCCTCAATAAGATGAACTATTCATTGATTGTATTTGGTTGCAGATTTAACTGAGTTGCACGTCAGAGCCAACATAGAACAGTTCCTGCAGGACACTATAGACCGACTGATATTCCTCAAGAAGATGAACGAATGTTGGTTGTCACATTGTCGTCAGATGATCATGGTACGCAGCATCTTCCTCTACCTGGACAGAACATACGTGTTGCAGAACGCTGCTATACACTCAATATGGTATGTTGAGCTTGTAGAATATCTATTCTTACATAGAATGCGGGCATATGAGCTAATTCCTATATTTGACCTGGGGGATGAGTGGATACAGAGAAGGGAAGGGTCATTTAACACTCATCTGTTAACATTAAAAAATAAACTAGTTGTTTTACCTGAGCTACAAAACGAGGAAAGAATGTGGCCAGCATTGTGACCGTGAAAAACTAATAACTTTATCTTAAAGTAAACATACAAAATTTAAATACTAATCAAAACTCAGGATAAAAGTAAACAAACCATTATTTTAAATAAAAAAGTAACAAATAAACCCAAATTCAATATTTTAACAGTGATTGAATACAACCAGTTCATCTCCTCGGGATAGGGTTTATTCAAAAACTAATAGGGTTTTGCTCATCAAGACTTATTTAAGTATGCGGTTGATAGGCGAGATGCTTACGGTTTACTCATCAAAAGTTTGTGTTCCTTATTAACATTATATATAGAGAGAATGAATCCATGATTTTTGTTCTGATTGTAAATCACACATGTTCAAACAATGTCATTGTTGTAAATAAAATCACACAGGTCGTGTAGTCAATAAAGAGCATTACAATTTGAATTTTGTAACAAATCTGATGCATATCTTAGAAAAATCTTGCTGTGGCCTAGATTAAGAGTGCGCTCTACCTCAGCTCGGATTTCTCAGATTAACGCCGATGTTTCTATACCATTGCACTGAACAGCGCCACGAAGAGTGCTTGCAAGCCTTTTGAATCTGGGTGATTACATCGTTATCCATAGACCTTTTAGTAAACTAACTGCAGATTCTTGTTTTAGCACTATTGCACTTCCCCCGTTTGTTATTTTTTCTCTAAAAATTATTTGTATATGTTAAAACTTATGATAAAAAATGTATATTTTATAGCATTTTTAAAAACCTTTTAGCCCAAAATTTTTTTTAAATATCTAGGCTAAATTTTAAAAAGCGCTGGACCTACAATAATATTTTTATGAAAAATATGCCACCAAGATTTTTTTAATCGGTTAACAATTGGGGCTACAAACAGTAAGAACCAAAACCTTTGCATTTTCGCGAACCAGACGGGTAGAGCGCAGCCTTCATTAATTAAAGATTAGACAATGTAGCGTACAGTTTTTGGAAAATATAGATTTGTTTTAGTATCTCAGCAACTTGAAAGTGCTACATAGGAAAAGTGGGACAATTTTATGTAGGAATTCTTGATTTTTTTTGCCATTTCCTGTAGATTTAAAGTTAAGCTTCGATTGTTAAGCTAGATGTTAAGCTGTAAATAAAAATAAATTTAACCTTTTTTTTTTTTTTGGTTATCATCATTGTGAGGAAATGTAGTAGGCCTAAGCAAAGTGAAATTTTGAGAAATCAACTTTTTGCTTTTGACTAGGCCTAGTTGTACAAAAATTCTACTTTTTAATAAAACTGCTCAATTATTTTTAGTTTCATTTTGTCTAACTGTGTATGTTCGCAGGGACATGGGTCTGGACTTGTTTAGACAACACATTGTTCTACACACGCTTGTACAGACTCGAACTGTCGAAGGTTTGCTAATGCTCATTGAGAAGGAGCGACAGGGCGACACCGTCGACAGAACTCTGCTCAAATCTCTACTGAGAATGCTCTCCGATCTTCAAATATATCAAGATGCATTCGAGTCCAAGTAAGTTGTTTTTCATTTTTCAAACATAGAATGGTATTAAATAGCTACGTTACTTGGTATTTTGTAAAAAATAGGGTCGGCAGTTTAATTTCAGTTACGGTACTTTGAGTGTTTGGGCATTCAAAATCAGAAAATCTATGCAAAATACCAAATTGAGACTGGTTATGCAGTTTTTCAACTGGAAAATCGTGCTCTAGATCCATGTCAACACGAAATAAAATGTACAGTAACCTACTTCCCACATTCTGCAGAAGCAACGTTCTTGAACGTGAAATAGCCTATAATGCTTCCCACGCTAAACGTGTAGGTCTAATTGTTTTACATGCACATCTTTAAAATATAAATATTGTTAAAATTTTACCATGTGATTTTCTTTTTTTAGATGAAATATTGTCTAATAAATAACATTGCCACTTAAATTTCTTTATTTATAACTGGTTGTATCTTTGCAAAAACAAGTTGTGTAGCCACAACTTTTCTAGATATTCACAAACGGGTCGTTGTTGTATAAATTTATTTTTTGTCAAAATTATGCACTAATTAGGAATTTCTTATGTTCACTGGAAATGGAAATGTATAAAACAGCCAGAAATTAACCCATCTAGTAACAAATTTGGTATGTTCTGAAGAAAAATGATTTCGCCCTTATTAGCGAATTTCCCTATAGGGAAGTAGCTATTACCGTAGGTGGCACGGTAAGACCTAGACCCGGGACCGATTTACTTTTTCATTTTGATGTCCCCAGAGGCCAAAAACACCATTCGTTCAAATTTTTATATATGTATATATATATATAGACATATATATATATATATATATACGTCCGTGAACGTGATAACTTGAGTAATTTTTGTCCGATTTTGATGAAACTTGGTTTAAAGGTGTAAAGCGGGATAAACTTGAATGAGTTCGCGAACCAGCACGATCGGACCATGGGAACGGGGCTTTACAGGGGGGGGGGGGGTTTATGGGGTAAAAATTGGTTTTTCTCACTTTTGACCCTCAAAACACAAAATTTCCCGAATTCTCTTTAGACCTTTTTAAAGAGCTTAAAAAAACAAATAATTTAGTATATAAAAGTATTTTTGTTTGATTATTAGTAACGGAGAAAATTAAAAAAATTGTAAATTTAAAATTCCCATGTTATTCTTATGGAGAATATTGTCAAATGTTGTAGTTTGCTTGTTTATGGATATATTTTGATCAAACTTGGCAAAATTATTTATTTTGTACTAAGCTATCAATATTTTACTCAAAAACACACTTTATTAGTTTCCTTGTAGCAGCAAACCTAAGTACTCGTTAAACCTAATGTTATTAAAATATATTTAACTGAAAATCAATTCAGACAAATGGAAATTCGCTTAGTCGGCAGGTTTGCTGCAGCGGGGGTATTTTCAATACATTTCACTTAGGCTACATAATTACTAAATAATATTACTAAATAATCCCTAAAACGCAATAAAAATAAAATTAACACAAAATAAAATCACATTAAATATCTCTTTAAAACAAACAATAGCCTGAATCACAGTGTAAAGGTTTTGTTTAGTCTTGGCGTGGTTATAAGAATAAACAAAAAAATAAAACGACTAAATAGTTGGCTTAGACTAAACCACTATTACATAAAAATAATATTAGAAACAATATTGCATTTAATTCTTTTTTTATGTTGGATGTATTATGTCAGTGAAGGCTCAAATGAACGGGCGGCGGGCGCTTCATAATTTAAAGCCTTAAGACCAAATAGTAGACGTATTAATCAGCCAAAAAGCCCTTGGCATCGTTACGTACTATGAAATACGAAGAGTCATCCTCAGCAAAGCCTGAGGCCGATAATTAAATTATTATTTTCAATTATTAACTTTTTAAATTTTCTAACTTTTTCCTCTTTGGGAAGGATGATAATGAGACATATTTTTGACAGGTTCCTGGTGGCGACGGAGGTTCTGTACGCTGCAGAGGGCAAACAGCTGATACAGGACATGGAGGTGTCTGAATATCTACACCATGTGGACAAGAGACTGACCGAGGAGAAGGTAAAACCCAAGTAGAAATCCAGAGTAGTCAAATTAATTGCATTGATTAAATATAGTTTCTCTGTCTTGTGTTATCGAGCAGAAGTAGAAAACACTGTTACTGTGCAATAATAGTTAGGGACGTTCCGTAGCTTTTTGATAATGCATGAAAAAATAGGTCTATTATTTTTTTTGTCAATTATTGTTTCCATGAACAGTATGCTTCAGCCGGTTCTCTGTTAATACAGGGTGTATACCAACCGGGAAAACCGGGAGAACCGGGAAATAACCTTGAATTTGAAGGGACCTGGAAAAAACCGGGATTTTTGGACCGATTCCGGGATTTTTATTTTAGCCCCGGTAGAAGATTGTAGTCGTAAAATGCGTCTTGCCGCGATTGCGGGCGACGACGATGACGTTTCAGTGATCGCAGGATACGACAATGACATCTACACGTCCGCGGGAAATGTTCATGATTTGCCGCGATTGCGGACGACAACGACGACGTTTCCGTGACCGCGGGAGACGACGATGATGTTTACATGGCTGTGGTAAATATTAATGATTTTACCGCGATCGCGTACATTGACGATTACGTTTCCCTAACTGCTGGAGTCAATGATGATGTCTACACGGCCGTGGAAGATTTTCATGATTTGCCGTGACCGCGAAAGATGACGATGATGATTTCTACACGGCCGCGTGAAATGCTCATGATTTTGCCGCGATTGCGGCTGACGACAATGAAGTTTCCGTGACCGCGGGAGACGACGATGATGTTTCCGTGACCGTGGGAGACGACGATGACGTTTCCGTGACCGCGGGAGACGACGATGACGTTTCCGTGACCGCGGGAGACGACGATGACGTTTCCGTGACCGCGGGATCAACGATGATGCATACACTGCCGCGGGAAATATTCATGATTTTGCCGAGATCGCGGACGACCACGATGACGTTTTCGTGACCGCGGGAGACGACGATGATTATGTCTACACGGCCGCAGATTTTCATGATTTGCCGTGACCGCAAAAGACGACGATGATGATTTCTACACGGCCGCGTGATATGCTCATGATTTTACCGTGATTGCGGCCGACGACGATGACGTTTCCGTGACCGCGGGAAACGACGATGACGTTTCCGTGACCGCGAGATTAACGATGATGTTTACACTGCCACGGGAAATATTCATTAATTTGCCGAGATCGTGGATGACGACGATGACGTATCCGTGACCGCGGGAGACGACGATGATGTAGACACGGCCGCAGGAAATATTAATGATTTTGCCGAGATTGCGGAAGACGACGACAATGACGTTTCCGTGACTGCGGGAGGCTATGATGATGTCTACACGGCCGCGGAAGATATTCGTGATTTGCCATGACCGCGAAAGACGACGATGATTATGTCTACACGGCCGCCGATGTTCATGATTTAGCCGCGATCGCGGACGACGACGATGACGCTTACGTGACCGCGGGATCAACAATGATGTTTACATGGCCTCGGAAGATTTTCGTGATTTTGCCGCAATTGCGGACGACAACGATGACGTTTTCGTGACCGCGGGAGTCAATGATGGTTTCTACACGGCCGCGGAAGATTTTCGTGATTTTGCCTTGATCGTGGATGACGATGATTACGTTTCCGTGATCGCGAGAGACGGCGATCATGTATACATACCGTGGAAGATGTCCAGGATTTTTCTATGATAACATAAGACTGTGATGACGTTTACGTCACTGTGGGAAGCGACCACACGACCGCAGGAAATATTCAGGATTTTGCCGCCGTTGATAATGTGTTCATAAAAAATGAAGATAATATTCAGGATTTGGCTGCTATCGAGAGAGACGATGTTTCCGTGGCCTTAAGTAATGATGATAATGAAAATTATTACTATAATAAGGATTATTACTTTTTAAACACTAGCTCACTGGACTTTGAAACAAATTTGATGTAGCCTAAGTTTATATTGTATACTTGAGCTGCAAGTCTTAAATTGATTATAGTTTAAGTGGAACCAACAAATACGCGGGAACCTGGAAAAACTTTGAAAAACCAGGAAAAAACCTGGAAAAAACCTGGAATTTCACTTTAATAAAATAGTATACACCCTGTAATAGGAAGACACAATCCGCGTTATTTCACTAATAACCTGAAACCTGACAAATATTCTAAACTTCAGACGGTGTTACAAAAATAATATGGTATCCACAGGAATGTATTACACAAGTTAGACTTCCCATCCCATTATATATTTGAAGCTTGTTTTTCATACCTAGGTCATGTAGTTGACTCTGGGCGCTAGTGTCGATGACATTTTTCTTCTGTTTTTTGAGGGTTAATTAGTTAATTTTATGATTTGTGCTTTTTACCGTTGGTAACTAGAGGACAAGTTGTTGTTTATGATTATTTTAGATCGTTTTATTTGGTGAAATGGGGTTTTGAATAACTGAAATTTAATAAGAAACAAATTTTCAACAAAAACACGATCCTATTGGCACTGGCCAGACCTAGCAATAAAATTGTCTTTAGCAAATCCAGGATGAGAAATCTATACTAAGGGAATAAGTTTAAGCTATGCTATTACCAAGGTAGATAACACTTCAGTAATAGTATTATTCATCCTATCATATTAACCGATTGACGACGACCCATGAGTGTAGTGTGTCACCGCATTTCGCCACAAGATAGTCATAGTGCTAACCCACTGGCCCTCAAGTTGTATGTCACATCTAAACTACTGGCACTAGTGGTTATACTGGCAATTGACCCGTTCGGCAGACAGTGGCATGGTAGCTCAGTTGGCAAAGGTATTGCACGGACATGCGCTGATTCAAATCCCGTTCATGTAAAAACGATACTTAGCTTACGATTGTGTGTCTTAGCTTGGGGAGGGCCCACCTAAACAAAACAATGTCTGGCTTGGATGGAAGTTGATGGCAATAGTGAGTTTTGTTCGGATTGCAAAAAACAAGGACTACTATGACCAACACCTGTTTTGCAACTTTATGCACTAGTATAGAGAAAAGGACTCATATTTTTTTGGGCTTTTATTTAAGTTGAATATGTACATACCCTGTTGAAATATTCAGTAGAACCAGTTAACACGACCTAGGCTAGTCCGACTCCTCCTTTAATACGACCACGCTATCACCTATCGGTGACAATGTAATTGTGGCAATGTCATAACTAGTTGCCTTGGTTGTGTGGAGATCATCACCCTCTCCCGCAAAAATCTTGTTTATCCCGAATTATCTTCTCCTTTCTTCACAATAACGGAATTATTTATTCTCATCCTCCGGGATGTAGCAACATATTGAATGTCTCCTACAGTCACAGATACATTATTATCGTTTTTGTTGATTGCGGCAAAATCCTGAACATCCCTTGTGGTTGTGCAGATGTCCTCATTGTCTCAAGGAATTACGGAAACTTCACTGTCGTTTAAAGGTCTATCTGCGATCGCGGCTAACTCTTGAATATCTCCTGCAATAAAGGAAACGTCGTAATCGTCTCCCAGGATCACAGGAACTATCGTTGTTATCCGCAATCTTGGTAAAGTTTTTAACATCCCCTGCAGTAATGGAAAAACCATCGTCGTCTCCTACGATAGTGGTCAAGTATTCATCATAATCTCGCGCGATTGTGTACAAATATTTAACGTCTCCCGGGGTCACGGAAACATAATCATCGTTTCCTGTGATTGTGGCAAAATATTTAACGTCTCCCACGGTCATAAAAACAGTCCTCCATGATTGCGCACGATCAGAAAATTTCAGTTAAGTAATTAATTTTGTAATTTAATATGCTCTTTGGATAATGCAACCTCTTCATCTCTTCACCTCTCCAACCTTTCCGATCATGGTCCTGGCCCCATAGGGAACAGGTTAGGGGGGTTGTACTCTATATGCCATTACAGGTTAGAAATTGAAAAAAAACCTAAATAATAACATTGGTAAAGAAATCATTAAAACAATTCATGCGGTAAAGGGTTAGTTGAGAATCCATCGTATATTCTATAAAAGAATGAAGTTATGTTTTATATTCTATAAAAGAACCTTAAGAATCGAAGAAACATTTTGTATTGATGCTATTTATTTAGGAGAGGCTGCTGCACTATCTGGACCCCAGCACTAAGTGGTCACTGATACACACGGTGGAGAAACAACTACTGAGTGAACATTTGACTACCATGCTGCAGAAGGGAATGGACAGTTTGTTGGAGGAGAATAGAGTCAGTGAGCTCGCATTGCTGTACACTCTGGTCACAAGGATCAAGAAGGGACTACAGGAACTGTGCACACACTTCAACACTTACATCAAGGTAAGATCACACAACAACTTTAATACTCTTTTCAGGCTCAGTTCAGATTTTTCATCATCCCATCTTTTGTAATTTGACCTTGCTGATAAGAGATCAGAGAAATATCCAAGTACAACGGTAACGTCAAGACAACCTCTTTTACTATACGAGGCTATTCAAAAATATGGACCCAATTTCACGACTTTGTATCTCAAAAAGTATAAATGTGATAGACATAAACTTTACACTATTAAAAAGTGGACATTTCACCACTGTGGTTTTGACCATATTTCCGTAAACGACCGAAAAGTTATCACAACAAAAGGTAGCCATTTTGTTTTACCATCTTTTATTAGAAAGATACCTATCATGCAACATAAGATTTTTTTTGATGACAGAGTTTGCAAAAACTGAGTCTCGTATTACATTGCAGTGGGCTTTTAATCAACCACCATTTAGTAAAAGCATAACTCGCTGGTTTGTGCAATTTCAAGAAATTAGTGACACAAGAGGAGGTGTCTGGTGCGTGGGTCACATTCGGCTATCGCTTAGATGTTTGCCATGCAGCACAGGTGGAACACATTGAGCATTTGTAATCAGTGTAAATACAACTTTGAAATTTTCTCTTTCCAACGGTGTAAAACTGATTTGTTTCCGATTTATACTTTTTGAGATACAAAGTCCCTAAAATGTGTCCATATTTTTGAATAGCCCTGTATATTAAGTGTTAAAAACCCCTTTAGACTGATGCCAGATTATCGAATGTGGCAAATTATTGGATTTAGAAAAATCAAGGGTCTACTTTAGTAGTTTTTTAATTAGTTTTTCCCTCAACCAAAATAATGTGTTTTGAAAATAGATATGCCTAAAGTGTATTTGTCAGTTAAATGTTTCTTTCTTATTGGAGGATAAATTTAACATTGCATGCTTTATCCTTCAGTCATTGTGCAGGGAGAAACAGTTTCAGATTATTCTTTTCTATTGTCAATAGCTTACAGATAGTAAAAAAATAAAATAAAAATAAAATTGTTGGGTAGAGATAAGCACCAGCTCTACGGATGTTAAGTATTATCATAGACAAAAAGAATTAAATATTGACTGTCAGCCGTGCAGCGGTTACCATGGTTTACCATAGGTTCTGGCGCACACCACTGGGAGGGCCGTGTAGTTACGTAGCGCGTGTGCCGTAACTACATGTCGCTACCAGTGGTGTGCGCCACAATCTATGGTAACCGCAGCAGAGCTGACAGTCTATATTTAATTCTTTTTGTCTGTGGTATTATATGCTCAAATTTACTACATTGTTCCCCTATTTTTCCAGTCAAAAGTCCTATTAATATCCATATGTATATTGATGCCCAACAGAGATTGGAAAAAAACCTTTGATTACTTACTTACTTACTTACTGCTGTGGCCACTGGTACCCTAGATGGTACTTGGCCTCCCCAACACACTGCCTCCATAGGTCTCTGCTTCTTGCATCTTCCTTCCTTCTCCCTAGCTTCCTCAGGTCTTTCTCCACTTGGTCGTACCATCTAAGTTTCGGTCTTCCAAGGGATCTTCTACCTTCTGGGTTATTCCTCAAGATGTTCTTTGATAGGGAGTTGTCATCTTTTCTTAGAATATGCCCTGAGTGCCCATCTCAGTCTTCTAATCCGTACCTCAGCGACAGTATCCGGATCCTTAAATAATTCTCTAAGTTCCCAATTGTGTCTCGATCTCCATTGTCCATCCTCAAAAATTGGTCTGTACACTTTCCTCAAAATCTTGTTCTCAAATACAATGGCTTTCCTTTCTGATTTCTTGCTTAAGATCCAATTTTCTGAACCATACAGGGGAACTGGTCTGATGATTGTCTTATAAATCCTGAATTTGGTGGTGTGGGATATTATTTTTGAAGTTAGTAAGTTGTGACAGGCCGAACAACTTTTTTGTGCTAGGTTTAATCTATTTTGTATTTCTAGCTCTTCATCATTATCGCTGGTGAGGATGACTCCCAAATACTTGAAATTTGTTACTTTTTCAAATTTATACTCTTCAATTTCAATGTAGTTGTTATTTTGGTATCTTGGTTGGTCATCATCATGTTTTCTTCCACTGTCATAAACTTGATTTTCTCTTCATTTATGTATAGCCCCATTTTTCTTGTATGTTCAATAAGCATTTTTGTTACATATTTAATTTCTTCTATATTATGTGTAGGGGTGTGCGAAGCAGCAAAAAATTTTCGATTCGAAGCAACGATTCGATTCAAAAGATTTTCGATTCGATTCGATGCAACTCGATTCGAAGCAATACGGTATTTTTCTATTCATAATTGTCAATTGAGTGGATTAACAATAATTAAAATTTATCACATTTGTGTAATACAAATTTTTTTTGATGTGGTATTAGGCCTATTCATACTTACATATGAATTTTAGGTGAAAAAATATTTATTTTCAATCATATGTATTAGAATAACTGCTGGAAATACCAGTGAGCTGCTTTACTTGCCTATTTCATAATTTTTACTTGGAATTGGCTCAACTGCAAGAAAGAAGAAAATATTTTTTTTATCAAGACATTCATTCTCATTTTAATAACTGATTAAATAACTAAATAGGTACCGGTAGCTAATTTTTTTTTTTTTTTTTTTTTTTACAACAAATTTGAATGGAACTTAATATAAAAAGACCATTAAGAAATAAATTTACATATCACAAGTTTAGGGCCTGTGGACCGGCTTCAGGACTGCAAGCAAGAAGAAAATAAAAATAATATGTTTCCACCATGCAACATGTATCATTCATTCCCTGCCTCCTAACCTCCTTAGTATAATAACCTCACACTTACATTATTTGTTACATCATCATAAATAAAGAATTATTATTGGCATCAGTAGGCCTACAGCTTTACATAGGCATTATTTTTATAGGGCCTAAAATAGTAATAGGCTAGAAGCAACATGTCAAGTGGAGAACTCATTGAAGAAAAGATATTGTGTAAACTAATTTCCTATAAAACTCAAAAACAGTAAATAACATACAAACATTGTTTATGGTATAATTAATAAGGACTAAAAAATGCATATCATGTCATACAGTAGTATAGACCTACTGCAAGAGATTAAAATCCTAAAACAACTGATTTTGATAGCTAATGAATGAAAAGAATTAAAAATCCATAAAATGAAGCTAAACAATATCACAACTAATTAGGTACCCGAAAAGTAACTCTTAAATAATATATAGAAGATTAAAATAATATTAAATCAAGAGACAAGAAAGTTGAATGCTATCTTCTAGTGCCCTTGGCAACACAGGTCAATGTTTTTAAACTACCCTCAATGTTTTTGGAACAGCAGGGCCTTTTTCTCTTAAGGAAGGGTAGTAGTATGTCAACAAAAACAATGAATCAGTCTCACCAGCCAGGCCCGGGCAACGATGTGTGAATTCAAGGTCATAGACCCTCCCCCTCCCCTCTTACACCACCCGGTTGCTACCCAGTTGCTTCAATTGCTGACAAAATGCAAGTGATGAAACAAGGAAGTAGAGACAAAGAAATATATTTCTTTATTCAAAAACACAAAACTGTTAGAGATTATTTTCAAAGAAATTAATTCAATGTAATTTGTGAGTTGTAAATATTGTATTGGATCTTAGAAATATATTTTTTTAACCCTATTTAACCAAGATACAGATCTGTTCACTATATCAGATATTTCTTTTGTTTATAATATTATGTAAAATACTAAAATATATTTTTAATTATGTATTGAATGAACAATAAATGATTATACTAGTATGTCTGGATAAATAGTCTTTCTATTCTTTTGACTTTGTTTTCTTTGCACTGTTAGTGTTGCGTCACGGCTTTTGTCTTGTTACTCTTATCAGTAGACGACTAGACCTGGCTCTGGCTAGTGGCAGTGCGGCAATTGCTCTGTTGTGTCTTTATTCTTAAAGGTCGTGAGCCAACTTAATTTTTAATTCTCATTTGAACATTTTAATTCCTCTGTAATAGATATAATAATATAAGAGTGTTTCTTTGGAAATAAATTATTCTTTTTTTTTCTTTTGCCCCAACAAAAATTCGGGGACGGGGACCGACAGACACCTAACAAAAATACCAAATGTATCAGTCTATAACATTGATCTTACTAGTTAAGTATTAAGTAACAATTTTTCAGACTTATTTTTAAAATGATTTTGGAGTAACCTACCTTGTTTTGGCTAGGTTCACAGTAGTAAAATATTTCACACACTGCTTACATCAAGACAAAAAACAAAACCTCTAATCATTTGCAATGTCAAAACAAAAAAATATAAAACAATTAAAGCTATATTTAATGCAAAGAATGTATTAAATAAGAACGCCTTCGTAAAGGAAACGCAACAGCAACGCGCTCCTGTATTGCGGGTATTGCATTGACTTTCTGCAGGCGTTTTTCGTATATGGATACTGACTCCCTCATGAATCGAATCGTTTTTTGACCACCACTGAATCGAATCGCGATTCGAAGCATCGAATCGAATCGAATCGAAATTTCGATGCATTTTCGATGCATCGCACACCCCTAATTATGTGTAATTAATACTATGTCATCTGCAAAAGCTAGCAAGTTTATGTTTGTTCCTATCTTAACCCCCACTTCTCTGTTTCTTATTTCCTGAAGGGCTATTTCTATGGCTAAATTGACCAGCATTGGAGATTAATTACGTTCAATTAAATGAATTGTACATTTTTAAGCGATTTTTATGATTTCCATAAATATTTTCAGAAAAAAGGCCGAACCATAGTGATTGATCCTGAGAAGGACAAGACCATGGTTCAGGAGCTACTGGACTTCAAAGACAAAATGGACAATGTTGTGTGCAACTGCTTCCAAAAAAATGAAAAGTTTTCAAATAGCCTGAAAGAGGCTTTTGAATACTTTATCAACCAACGGGCCAACAAACCAGCCGAACTCATTGGTAAGTTTGCTTCTTTCGTAGCTACTATATTTATTTATTTATTTATTTATTTACTACATGTCATTACATCATTTGACAGGACATAAAGTCCAGTGTTGGGAAGTAGCGCGCTACTTTTTTTGTAGCGTTAGCTGTAGCTACGCTACTTTTAAGATTTTGTAGCTTTAGCTGTAGCTAGCTACATTTATAAAGTAGTTGTAGCGGAATTTGAGCTACTTTTCTCGCTACATTAACATTGTTTGAGATAGTGATTTTTATCATAACCTCAACCTTACGTGGAACCTTTCAAACTGAGATTTTCAAAAAAATTTGGCCTACTTTCTCGGCTTCATACAGCTGGTTGCAGCCGTTTCATTTCCTATACAACGTTGTGTGGACATGGAGGCCATTAAATGTGTTATCCACATTTTTGGCTCTCATTTCCTTAATTTACTACTCTATGATTACTGCCAGATAAAATAAAATCGCTAGATGCAGACGACTTTTAAACGTTACCGGTGACAAGAGAAGCTATTGAATGCTTGCAAGTGATTGACAGGGAAATTAGTAATCAATTTAGTTTCTTTATTATATCGATAGTGTTTCAACTTGGGTTTTAATGGAAACCAACACTAAACCTTAAAATAATGAGAAAGCTGGTCTATCAACCTTTGCTTCAGCTGTTGATTGTGGTTCATCATCACAAGCCCTTCCTTGGTTAGATTACAAAGATTTTTCAAAGGTTTACTAAATTAACAAAGAGGAAATTACCTGATGTGATTTAAGATATGCCTAGACTAAATGGTAATTGTAACGAAAAAATCTCCATATAAAATGAAACTTACATTGAAAAAATAGCATAGGTAGTTTGCTCCTGCTAACAGCTCTTGTATATGACTATTCTTAGGCTATGCTATGGTTTAAGACAAATACCAAGTTCCAAGTTCAATTATTAGGAATATATCTGTTTAGTCCTTAGCTTGCAAGAACAAGCCTACTATAGCCAACTTGTTACATAGCCAAGTAGGCCTACATGTTATTTTTACTTAACAAATTTCCACATGTTTAAATTAAAAGCCGATTTCAGGATAAGTTGCTGAATACTGTTTTCTGTACCAACTAGGTTGAAGCACAATTTGCCCTATGCATAATGACAATAAAGGACGATTTCTTGACACTAACAAGTGTTATTCATAGAACAAGTAACTTATTACTATGGTTAAAAGTTATAGCAATGTCGTTTTTAACATTAAAAGTAAAGAAAGGGAATAAACTCCAATTTCAGTAGGCTAACTTAGGCTCTGTAACACAAACAAGTATTTTTTTTAAATCGTTTTACAGTTTTATAGGTCTTAATTGTTTATATAAAACATCTATAAATGAATCTATATTAAAGAAACAAAATGAGCTTTTAAAATATACGAGTAGTTTGGTTGTATGTCCTTTCAACCTAATGAAATTTACATATAAGATGCTTAAAAATAATGCAATATTGAAAAATAAGTGCTAAATATGATGGGAAACCCAACTGTTTGGTTCTGTTGTTGAAATGTTAGGTATATAATGCCAACAAATTAAATACAATCTAGGAATAATTTGTTTACCAAGTAATGCTAGATACAATCATTGACAATATATACCTGTAGGTATATATACTCAATGATACAATACTGACATTTTTTGTTTAAATGTTTGTTCAATAAAAATGTAGTTGCAATTAATTTTACATTTACCTAATGTACGTGGAATAAAAAGTAACGTCTTTGGAAAAGTAGCTAAAATTGTAGCTGTAGCTACATTTCGTTGTAGCTGTAGTTGTAGCTAGCTACTTTTTCGGAACTGTAGCTGTAGCTGTAGCTAAGCTATTTTTTTGGAAATGTAGCAGTAGTTGTAGCTAGCTACATTTTAAAAGTAGCTTCCCCAACACTGATAAAGTCATATACTGATACAGAGTTCACTTTGTTCACCCAATGATTAGACGGATAGATTCAATGAAATGGATTCTCAATTTGGATTCCCATATATAAACAGGTACACTATAGACTGCCTAGGTAATCTGTAAACTACCTAAAATGAGTCAGGAAAGAATGACATAATAACCAATACAAATATACTTTGCTTAGTCATTATATCGAAAACTCATTGACACTACAGGTAAAGTAAACAATATACGGTTGAAGATCTCTTTGGCTTTTGATTCCTTATTTTGCATTAACTATTATATTATAATGTAAACCAAACTAACCCAACCTAACCATGCAGTTGATATTTCAATATTGGAATGCTAATCAATACTTTGCCTGACACAAGTGTGGGAATTCTACAAAATGCCATGGCATTATACACAGTGTCCTGTCAAATTTTAGAAATTTCTATTACGCTATTTCATACTTTTCCTAAAAGCTTTTGGTAATGTGCAGTAATTATTTTATGGGATGCCTGCAATACATACTTTGCGTATTCATTACCTACAATAATTAACTGTAGTGATCCCAATGATTGTCTACCAACCAGATTAGAAGTGGCTCTTTGGTACTTGCATTTCAAGGTTTTAGTAGGCCTACCTATATGAAATCAGAAATCAGAAATCTTTATTCACCATTGATCATATTACATGAAATAGGCTTCGTCATACAATATAGGTTAAATCTATCATAATACTAAGGAAAATAAAATCTACACATATAACAATCATAAACCTACATAGGCCCAAATACTACTGACAATAACAACATTTCTTGGCCAATTCTATCTATCTTCAAGTGTTAATCTAGGATCACAGGACAGTCTAAAAACTCAGTTAAACAATAAAACGGATTTTTTAATAGCCAATCGTACATTTTCTTCTTGAAAACATTGACTGGTGCAGTTCTAGCTTATGAAGGAAGTTTATTGAAAAATCTAATGCAGTTAATTTTGTGAGATGACCCAGTTTTGGCTAATCTGTGCATTGGGATATCAAGTCTCACCTTCCCTCTTGTGTCGTAGTTGTGTATGCTCTCTCTTGTGACAAATTCTTGTAAGTTCATTTTGATGTGCATTAATGAGCAGTGTGACGCAAAATTCTAGGGGGGGAATAAACTAATATTCACCTAAGTCAGGCTAGGCCTACCCCTAGAACTGGCCACACTCAAATTTCTTCCCCGGAGTGCTCAGAAGGAGCCGAGAAAAATCCAGGGGTCGATACGAAGTTGAGCTCTAGAAGCGCTCAGGAAATCCTGCAGACGCTCAGATGGAGCTATATCATCCCAGCCTTTGTAAAAGTGTTTTGGAGAATTTTGCCTAACTTTTAGAATGACTCCGTAGGGCCGACGAGTATTCAATCTTAGCCAATGCGATAAAATGCTCGTAATGAACTTTAAACTATCTGGCAAAGGACGTTGGTAAATAATAAAATCGGATCTAATGTAAAAACAATTCCTACAGAGTCGTCGGGCCTAATTAATATAATCGAATGGAGAATTTATCGTGGGATGATTCAAAATAGATTTAATATTAATATTCGTAGCTGTTTGATTGTTCAAAACAGCTGCTCCCAAGACTTGATTTTTTCACCCGCCAAAGACGGGGTTTAGAACTTAGGCGACAAGTCTCGGGGTATTAAAACGGTGAAAACGAGATATAATTTAGACGTAATAATTATTCGTTAAGCGAACGGATAAACCGCAATTTCGAAACTAATGAATTAAAATTAAATAAACGATATTCACCGCTAGTCACTGGCAGGCAGGAACTGGCGGGTCAAGACTCAAGTTAAGATATTAAATTTAGATAATTCGAATCGGTAATTTAAGAAAACGAAAAAGTAAAATAAGTTAAGTATGCGTATAATAAAGATGAAACAAATATAACGTAAAACGTAAAAAGGAGCCTAACTGGTGTGTTAGCTAACCTTCGTAATCGGATCGTAGGGTCGTATTCGTAAGTCGTGTGTGAGCTAGTCGGCCGTCAAATTGCGAATAATTCTTGTCCGGCTCAAATCATGATTTCCTCGGTCGAGGCTTAATCGCTCTGGTGTTGAGTTTGAGAACTAGCCAATAGCTGATTGGAAATTCACCTGTTGAGCCGGTCTAGTTGTCGTCTGTCGTTGGTCAACAAACACCATTTCGAGGTTAAGTGATGTTGTCATCGGCGTTAAATATTCGTAAAATCGGTCGTTTTAACTTTATTATGTGAAACGAAGTGCTATTATGAATAAATATATCGTTGTGGGTGTGTTTGTGTACTTCACTGTTATTAAAAGTAGGCCTACGTTCTTTGGCCCATAGCCCAAGCTATGGCCAACACATAGGCCTAGGAGTAGGATGTTGTGGGTAAAAATCGGGTAAGTTATGGTGTTTGTTGACTAGCAATACGTTTTTTACCCCCTTAAAAATTTGGTACCTCACAGCAGAAAATATACAAATTTACAACATTGAGAATTTTAAGTTTAATAAATAATGGACGACAGTGTTCCACAAGGCTCGCCCTACACATATTGCGAATTACTTTCTTTTGAATCAATAAAATATCATTTGTTTGTGAGGAATGGCCCCATAAGAGGAGACCGTAGGTTATGTGTGATTCCAGAAGACCAAAATAAGCCATTCTAAGGTACTCGCTAGAAACAAAATCACTTAGTTTCCAGATAAGATAGCTAACCCTGGATATTTTTTTACATACGTGTTCTATATGGGATCCCCAGTTTAATTTTGAATCAATATATATCCCCAAAAGTTTTACGGCTTTATTTTCTAAATCTCTGTTTAAACTTAAAGTAATAGTTTGAGTTTTTGTTTCATTACAAAACAGTTTATTGGCTGAGAACCAGGCAACTGCATTACTAAGGGAAGACTCAGCCAGGGTGTTTAAAATTTCAATTTTTCTATGTCTACAGAGAATTGTTGTGTCATCTGCATAGCAAATGACAGAGTTTGACACAACATTTGCTGGCAGGTCATTAAATGTATGTAAATTTTGCTCAGAGTTTTACATTTCATTAGAATTTACATTCACTTTATAAAAGTGCACTTTTGTACTCATATGTTTTATCATTCCAGCAAAGTTTGTGGACTGCAAGCTAAGGGCAGGTAACAAAGAAGCAACGGAGGAAGAACTAGAAAAACTTCTGGACAAAATCATGGTTCTTTTCAGATTCATCCATGGAAAGGATGTTTTCGAAGCCTTCTACAAAAAGGTAAGATTGATGTAGTTTTTACTAGTGATGGGCGGATCCAATTAAATCAGGATTTTAGAATCCGGATCCAGATATGTACTGCCATAAGAACGGGTTTAAAAAAACATAAAAATTACAAAAATCCAATTTAAATCATACTGTTTTACATTAAATTGGTAATGTTTAAACGTTGATATAATAAGATATAGAATAATACAGCTTATATGGCTAGGCAATGTCACAGAATATGTCGACGTCTATACATTTTACGGATCCCTAATTTTTGGTGGAACCTAAAATTTTCAAAATCATGAAATGAAACTTCCTGCTAAGTTTACAAGACCACCAAAAGCTCTGTACATTTTTAGTCTAATACATGGACACAGATAACTTGTATATGGACACGGATAGTCTTCTATATAGAGTTTATTTTAATTATTTTAGCTCTTAATTTTATTTGGAAATACATCACTATGGCAAAACACGTGTTCTTATGTATGAATCGTACTCTATAACAAGTGTTTTGTGTTAGTAAAATAAAAATAAAATAAAAAATCGGATCCATCAAAACCGGATTCAGCCCAAGATTCGATTTTTTGTGGATCTGATCAAGCGTCGGTCCTAGCTCAGATCCGGATCCGAACAACACTAGTTTTTACGTAAACTTTTATCGGTAATTTTAAGGAAGTTTGTTAGCACCAAACTTGTCACCAGCTTGTTTTAATTTGTGATATTATTGGGTGAGGTTCATAACTCCAAGTTTTCATAACTCCAAGTACTTTTAAATACAACATTTCATAACTCCAAGTAAAATTATGTCCAAGTAAATTAAAACCAAAATATCATAAGACCAAGTTTCATAACTCCAAGCGTTCATAACTCCAAGATTCATAAGTCCAAGTTAAAATAAAACCAAGTAAATTAAAATACAAAATTTCATAACCCCAAACGTACAGATTTGCAAGGACCACAAGTCCAAGTTTCATAACTCCAAGGGTTCATAACACCAAGTTTCATAACTCCAAGTGACAATGGGTACAGTCCGTGCAGGAAACGATAACGTACGCACACACACGCACCCATTACACACACACATGCTGGAAGAGAGTTTCCGATGTTGGCAAGACTATTCGAAGTGGTGCGTTCCCTGTCGCTTTGCACGTTCGTCTAAATTGTAATACAAATAGTGAGAGGATGAAATTTACATATTTAAATTCTGCGTAAACTGATGTTTAATATTATATAAATACAATTTAGTTCGTGCAGATGATTAATGTTTAATAATGGAAAATATGAAAAGGTTGTTCAATGTAAAAATTAAAAATTAAGTGAGCGAGGATTTTTTTTATTTTTTGGTCAGATGAAAACTATCAGCGAGAAAAGTATAGATAATAAGATGTTCTTCAATTTTTGTTCCAAACATTTTTTCGTAAGACTTTTAGTTTGTCCAATAATCGACTTAGATGACCACCACGAGGTATGAATGCGAGGTATGAATGGTATAAGCGTCTATTCCAGGCTTAGCGGAATAGTTAAGCCTGGTGGGACCATGCAACAAATCTGCGATCTAGCATCCAAATCTCCAAATTCACCTCTCATACTCTTGGCTGGGACTAACAATTTAGCAAAAAAGAAACCTCAGGAAATATACCAAAATATTGAAAGTGAACTTAAAGCACTAAGCAAAGCAAGGCCAGTCTGTATCACTACTGTCCCTCCTCGTTTTGATGTGAGTCCAAATGATCCGGTACACTGTGAGATTGCCTTGGTTAACAACTATATTAGGGAATTGGTTGTTGGAATTAACCAAGTACATTTGATTGATTTTGATCATTTTGAACGGAAACATTTTTCTAGACATGGTATGCATCTGAATAATAAAGGGAAAATAAAGCTGGCCTTTTCAATAATTCAATTTTTAAACACACTGCAACCAAATTCCAATGAACATAAAATAAAAGTAATTGAATCCCACATGAATCAGGTAATAAGACAAGCTGGAGGTGACAAGCAAACCGCTTTTGCTCACTGTATTTCACGTGACCTCTCGAGTGAGAGGTGTATGAGTGCTGGTGTCGCAAGAAGCTTCAAACATAACTTTGGGAAACCTCTGCTTTCTGACCGCATCAACTCACATTTAACATGCCAAAGGTCAAATAAAGGTGTTTTTGTTTATGGACTAGCTACTAAAAACAAGTTTTACGAGAAGCCATCAATATTTGACTACCAGCTTGCTTTTCAACAGTTAATAAAGGATTTTAGAAAAAAAGGATTAAAAACATTATATTGTTCACCAATGGAATGTGTCAGGGACTTGATTCCACCCTCCATTTTTATTGACAACATAAAAGAATTTCAAAGGTCTACCGGTGCTAGCATAAACGTCATAGTTTATGAAGAAATGTCAACAAGAAAACTAAGAAATGGCCTTTCATATGTTGAATTTGTTAAGACGCTACAACAATCCTTGGGTGTCCCAAGACAGTCGCATAATTCCAACAATCAAGAAACCTGCCCAAATGACTCCGAAGCTGTTCGTCTTGATGATTCTGACAACAAGGGAGACCATTCCTCAAAAGATCTTTCCCAACATAACATCATGTCTTCTGAATCTCTTGCAAATTCTGCTGATCTAGCCAACATAGACACTGCAAACATTACATCCCCAACTACTGAGCTGCACCCTGCTGTCTCCGACCCTACACTGCTAGAGTCTGCACTCGGTGATAAAGTGAGAGTGTCTCCGGGTGTTCTCACTTACAGTGAGACACTAAAGCAGAGTAATGGTGTTTGTGCGGGGGTTGCTGTGATCAGCCCAAGTGTAAATATTAAGGAAGCCTGTAAATCGAAATGTCAAATTAATATAGAAAATACCACTGTAAATAGTATTATGTTAGGTGAAAAAATCGAGGAAGTTTTTTTAGAAATAGCGAAATAAATAATACATTAGCTGTAAGTATGGATGATTTTGATTGTACTGTAAATAATAATGCTAAAACAAATAACAATGCAAATCAAGAATACTTAAAAATTTTACAGGTCAATATCCAGTCTATTAGGAACAAAATATTAGAATTAGAACATTTTTGTGCCATAGAGCAAGTGCATGTAATATGTGTGTCTGAACATTGGCTAGAGGAGCTGGAAGTTGAATTCTTTGTCCCTAAAGATTTTATTGTTGCAGATATCATGTGTAGGAAGAGTATAAAAAATGGTGGGGTAGGGATATTTTTATGAGAGGGGTTAACGTTTACCAAAATAGATGTTAGCTTATTTTGCATTGAGCTTCATTGTGAATTTAGCTGTATCAAAATAATTGATTATGATCTTATAGTTTTAAGTGTTTACAGATCTCCTAATGGTGATATTGGTTTGTTTCTGGAAAATTTTGAGCTTGCTGTAAAAAAGCTGTTAAAGTCATTTAAATTTGTTGCTATTGTAGGGGATTTTAACATAGAAATGATAAAAATGAAAAAAAGTCGATCTATTGAATTTGCCAATCTGTTGCGAAGTCTAAATTTAGTTTGTACAAATAAAAAACCAACTAGGGGAAAATCATGCATAGATAATATAATTGTAAACTTTTCATCAGATTTATATAACATAAATACAGTAGGAGGTTGTTTTGCAGACCATGAACCTTTAATATTAGATTTTTTACAGAAAACTATAAAACAATGTAACAACTCAACAGGAGGAACAAAACAAATAATACGAAGGCAAAATGAAAGTAATATTAAATACTTTGTTGATCAATTGGTACAAGAGAAATGGGAAATGATAATGGACTATAAAATGGGTAGAATAAATGAGAAACAACTATTTGATAATTTTTTTAAGAGAATAGTATCTTTGTGGCATTGCAGTTCCCCATTAGTTAAGTGTAAACAAAACAATAGACATAAGAGAGGAAAACTTAAATGGTATAATGAAAAGTTAAGGAAACTTAGGGAAAAAATGCTTGTTTGTCATTCTATTTATAAGAGCTTACTCAAACATAATTCAAATAATTTGGAAAATGCCTATAGAACCTACATTGATTGTAAAAAGGCCTACAATCGTGAAATAAAATTAGCCAAAAAGCAAGCTTTTGAAAGGTATATTGATAAGGCCCCCAACAGGTGCAAGGCTGCTTGGGAAGTTATATCACATGAATTTTCTCCTACATCAACTAAATCTGAGGTTTTGGATGCTGATAATCTAAATAACTATTTTATTGAATGTGTTAATGAGCTAGAAAACAAAATTCCTCTCACCAACACACCTGCGCATGAGTTGTTGGGGACTCCCCCTATAGGACAATTACATTTCCAATGGAGGGAGGTATCATGGCAAGAGGTTAACAATGTTGTAGCTAACTTTTCCAATTCAAAAACTATGGATCATTACTGGTTTTCAAATTACAGCATCAAACAAATAATTCATTTCATAAGTGAACCTCTGGCTTTTTGTATTAATCAATGTCTGAAAATTGGTTATTTCTCTGACCTTCTCAAAATTTCTAAAATTACTCCAGTATATAAAAAAGGCGATAAAAATCTTCCTAGTAATTATCGTCCTATTTCAATAGTGCCAATCTTTTCCAAAATTTTTGAATGTCTCATGCATAAACAAATTAATGAATATTTTGAAAACAACAATTTATTGACAAATTCACAGTTTGGATTCCGTGAGGGTAAATCAACAACTGCAGCTGTCTTAGAAGTAGTTAATAAATCTTTAAATGCATTTGAAAGTAAAGAAACTGTTTCATTAACTTTATTTGATCTTACAAAAGCATTTGACTCTGTACCTTTTAATATTTTATTCAAAAAACTTGAATTTTACGGTATTACAGGTGAAACTTTAAACATTTTAAGATCCTATTTAACCAATAGAAAACAGTATGTATCTGTTGGAGGCAGTCATTCTGACTTAAGATTGGTTGAAGTAGGTGTTCCACAGGGCTCAGTTTTGGGACCCTTCTTGTTTTTAATCTCGATAAACGACCTGCCGAAGAATGTTGATGTAGACACTGTTGT